AACGGGCGTGTTGGAATGCTTACTCCCTATGAGCGAGTACAAGTGTCAAACCAACCCTAGCAATCCCTGCTCGGATATCTGTAATGGAAAAGGGGATTGCCCCCCACATACTTGCCTCCAGGGAGGTAGAATTCTATGAAAAGTTATAAGCTTACATTTAAGACTTGCCTGCCCTTCACAGTATGTATGACCATTGACACCTTTAATACCTGTTCAAATAGTCCCACTCTTACTGACTTCTCAAGATTTATCTTTCCAGGTATCTGTATCCACACCAGTGAGTGTCTCACAGGGAGCTCCAAGAGTGTAAGGAATTCTGATCCACAGTGCCAGAGTGCCTCAAGTTTAGCAAACACCCTCAATACACTCTTTAGCCAGTGTGTGGATACTAACTCCTCAAAAGGAAAAATGGCCTGGTCTTGTTTTAGCAGATGGTCCAGGAGCCACTGCTCTAGTTCTTCCTGATGGCGATACCATGCCTTTCTATCTTCCCATCAACAGGTTATCACATTGGCATCTGTAAGTTGCTGTTGGAATGTTGCCTCTTGCTGACTACGACAGATGCCATTGATCCACAAGACCATCCAGCTTCCCATGTGAATACGTGGATCTGGCTCGCACAAAGATCAGCTAACCTCTCTGCTTTCTGTATTGCAGGAGGACGATCAGTGGATGATGTCTTAACTACGTGTTACATAGATGTACCAACTCCACTTGCAGTATTGCAGAGTTACACTTATTTTGATATTTCTGTTACTCCCATGAATTTATATGATTTGGGTATTGTTTCCCAAAAGCTGACACCTTGGATTTACTCTTTTCATATAGCAAACATATCTAAAGCAGATATTTGCTTTCGCTCTGTAAATGCTACCTCTGTTCTGTAGAATGTAACCAATACCCAGTTAATTTGTAATGACACTATGAATATTACCTATGTGTCTGCTCACCTGATACTACCACTAGGATGGTTCCTTCTGTGGGGCACTACAGCATATACATATGAGCTGGCCAACACCACAGGTGGCCCATGCACTGTAGGTCATGTTACTTAAAGCATCGTTCCCTTTATGACGGAACGGCGAAGGACCCCATGGAATGTCCTGGATGCCATTTGTAACCCCCATACAAATTTTTTTTCTCATGCAGCAGCCTTAGGCCTGTTGTTCAGCCCGGCTGGGATCCTGGGGGTGGTGGCGCATAATTCTAAACAGTTAGAGCATGTTGCCTGCGCTTTAACTCAAGGCTTAAAGTGGACATCTAGAGCCATTGCCTCTTTAAATAAAAAGTTGGGGGCAGTATGGGAAGGAACACCGCAAAGCCGTCTACTGATGGACTATCTCCTACTGTGACATAACCACAGATGTCATGACTTCACCAGGATGTGCTGTTTTAACATCACTGATGAACTGGTGTCTATTGAGAATGATATCAGTCACTTACAAGATATTATCCATCATCTTGTGAAGGCTGGGGGCAGCGTTGGCTGCAGTGACCATGAGATGGTGGAATTCAGGATCCTGCGAGGAGGAAGCAGGGCAATAAGTAAGATCGCAACCCTGGACTTCAGGAGAGCAGACTTTGGCCTCTTCAGGGACCTCCCTAGGGGAATCTCATGGGGTAGGGCCCTAGAAGGAAGAGGGGTCCAAGAAAGCTGGTTAATATTCAAGCATCACTTCCTCCAGGCTCAAGATGCGTGCATCCCTCTGAGTAAGAAGTCCAGCAAAGTGGACAGGAGACCTGCATGGATGAGCAAGGAACTCCTGGCAAAACTCCAACAGAAGAAGGAAGTCTACAGAATGTGGAAAAGGGGACAGGCCCCTTGGGAGGAACATAGGGACGTTGTCAGAGTCTGCAGGGATGCGACAAGGAAGGCTAAGGCCCATTTGGAATTAAATCTGGCAAGGGATGTCAAGGACAACAAGAAGGGCTTCTTCAAATACATCAATAGCAAAAGGAAGA